CCAGCAACGTTAAGGCTGCATTCTCTGCAAAGAAGTTTAAGCTCCTGAACAACTGTACCAACACCAAGGATGAGTTGCGTAACCTGGGTGACACCAATAGCGAGAGCGACGACGACGAGAAAGAAGAGTTGGCGGAGCAAGAAGTTTGCGTCAAAAAGTTTTGGAAGAAATTCAACGTCAAGAAAGCTGTTGATTTCTTGGTGGAGGCATGGGGGCAGCTGTCTGTGGCAACGATTCGTCACGCGTGGCGTCATGTGTTGCAAGGTATCCCAGGTGGGAGGCAGAGGCAACCAGTGACTGGTGAGGTTCAATCTGTTGCAGTAGCAGTGGACCTTGCAAGAGAAGCTGCACAGAGGGTTACAGCTGCAGGCTTCTCTGAGACCACCAACGAAGACATTATGGAGGTGATCAGGGATCCTGAGGTGACTGCCGACGAGATGTTGGAAGACGATGACGTCAGTGAAGATGCAGGTGGTGCGGCAGCCCGAGAAGAACATAAGTTAACACATGGTAATTTAAAGGATGCCATCGAGTTTGCCGAGAAACTCAAGCTTGTCCTTTCCAATGACCCTGACGATCACCGCTATGAAGTCTTCAATAACCAGCTGTTGCAAACTATGGAGCCGTACATCACGTTGTATCACGAACACATCAACACTAGCTGTCAGCGTAACATCACGGACTTCTTCGCCCGCAACCCACCACAGCCAGCCCAAGCCAGTGATAGTGACAGTGATGTTGACTTTGAGGGATTTGTCAGGGAGGCCCTGACAACTATGGTGGATAGTGATGGTGATTCACCTGAGGGCCAGTAATCTGCCCTCTGCCTCGGAACCAGGCCCCATCCACGTATGCCGACCCATCTCTTCTACTAACGTAAGTGTTAAACCTAACCTAACCTAACGTAAGTGTTAAACCTTGATTTTTTCTAACCTAACCTAACCTAACCTAACGTAAGTGTTAAACCTTTATTTTTTCTAACCTAACCTAATGTAAGTGTTAAACCTTGATTTTTCTTTTACTTGGTACAGTATGTTATTCTCTTATTGATATTTATCTTCTATATTATGTGTGTGTGCATACCATCATAAAGTTAAGATACTATTTTTACTACAACATACATATTGTGTCGGCAAAAAGTGGAGTTTGGGGGTCGGCCCAGTCTCTCTTTCAATTAATCCCATATGTTCTGTTATTTCATTTATGCGTTTCTCGTTTTACGCGGGCCTCCACGGGTTCAATTGACCGCGTAAATGCATTAATTACTTTTTTCTACGAATTTTCCTACATGAATACGACAATTACTAACCGTAACAGCGTAACGTTATTTAACTTATTTTTTCATAAGCACTTGTCTCCAGTTAGTGTGGACACTTCTGTCTACTCTAGGGATGCAGCGAGAACTGTTGCTAAGCAAAAAAGTCAGTAATTCTCATAATCATCCAAGACTTTTCCATAACAAGCGACAGCACCTCACACTTCCAAGTATTGCAGATGACTGAAAATCACTGCATTGCTGGTGACAAGTGTGTAGGTTCATAGGGAGAGGGTTGCCAAATATGATTCTTTCTCTTTACTTTTGACAAGACTCCACAATATTGAGTCGACTTCATCATTACCAAATTCATTAATACAAGGTTTAATGTGTATTTGTGAACTTATAGAAGCAAATACTTGCTTAGTTTTAACCTACAACTGATGACAACTTGCTGATCCGTTTACTCACCAGGAACCAGCCAGCACCGGCCTGTATGAACGCGAACACATCCTATCAGGTTACGCCACATACAGCAGGGCAGTCGAAGCTTTTCTGTATATATCGTTCTCATGTGTCCATAATGATAATCCATTCCCAGAAAAAATCTAAACAAAAATAATATCCCAAAGATTATGGGTAAAATTTGAATATGATTTTTGTATGGCAGCTTAGGAAGGATGGATCATTAAGTTTAACTGTGCCATGCGAACGATGGGTTGGCCACCCCTGCTTTAACCCCTCACACTATTCATACTCAATTTCTGCCCCCTTAGGGCACAACCATCTCTCTCACCCGCCTCTAAATGCCAACTATGGCACTATCAGAGGGCAAACTGGCAATCCTTGCGAGAATTCTTCTCCGAGTTTCCCTAGGATGAATGTTGCTTTTCCACTTGGGACGCCTCGGTATGTGCTGACAGCATTGCTGGGATTATACAGGTGCTCCTCTACTTATGAACAAGTTACGTACCTGAGGCTTGTTGTAAGTCCAACTCTACTCTTGTAAAGTAGGTACCAAACATGAAAAGGTTATGGATATTTAGTACAGCTATACCCTTTAATACAGCCTTAAAACCTGGCTCACTCTTCTCCTCTTAGGTAATGTTTGCTCTATCTGGAATTTTCTTTAAAATAATCCAGTCTCATCCACATTAAACACCTGTTCTGGCAGGTAACCCCCCCCAGTGATGATTTTTGTATCTCTGAAAGCTTATAAGTTGAATTTTCTTAAGTAGAGGAGCACCTGTACTTAGGCGACCTGTGATGTATGGTCAGCATGTTCGCCTTGCAAACGAGCGGACCTGGGTTAGATCCCCGGCCAGAGTGAAATTATGGGCAAGTTTCTTTACGCCATTTGCCTCTGTCTACCAACAGTAATTGTGAACCTGGATGTTAATCAATTTGTGGAATGTATTCTGGGGTAATGGTTAGCCAGTGCAGTTGGTGAGTTGTTCAGTCTTCTCGGACTATTCCTTGACACCGGGTCATGCAGTTCGTTAACTAGGGTGTAGTTGTTGTGTTGGCAACAGCTACTACACCTCAAACAAATTCACGCCTAGGTGGCCCTAGGGCCAGCCATCCTCGTTACACGAGGGGCAACCATTATCTATACTCAATGGTATGAGTGCATTTATCCCTTCTTCTACCAAAACTTTCACTTTACAATCATGGTTTGATCGTTCTTGCTGTCTTGCATGTAGGGAGAGAGATAGGGTGTATCAAGTCATGAAACCATCTCCTCCTTCTGTTACTCACTCCTCTTTCATTACTTCTAGGAATCGTTGTAAGGCAATTCTTCGTAGCGCCAAGCGGAATTTTATAAAAAGAAAGACCGCTGACATGAATAATTATATTTCTAGTCTTCTAGACCTTAACCAAAAACATCTGTAATAACCTCTGCACTCCCTCTTTTCTGACCTGATAACTGTATAGACACCTCTCCCTATGATAATGCCAATCTCTTTGGCACCTTATTCTCCTCCAACTCCACCTTAGACGATTCCAACTCTACCCCTCCAACTCCTGCTCCTCCTACTTTCCTATAATCTCCACTAGTAGGGTTGCTGGTTTGTTATCTAGGTTGGATGTGAGTAAGGCGCACGGACTGGATGGAATACCTCCTCATGTGCTGAAATTCTGGCCCCTGTGCTTGCTTGCCTCTTTCGCCTTTGCCTCAAAACCCAAACTTTTCTTTCTTCTTGGAAGCATGCCTTGGTTCAGCCCATCCCTCTAACTATCACTCCATTGCCCTAGCTTCATCCCTCTCTAAGATTTCTGAAACTATCTTAAACTCTCATTTTTGGTGTCACCTTGAATGCCATTCTCATTTGTTGGATCACCAGTATGGCTTTCACCAGGTGAGATCTATTGGTGATCTGCTCTCCTGCTGCACCTATCTTTGGTCATCCTCTCTTAGGGGAAACTTTTGTTGTGGCCCTCGACATCTCCAAAGCATATGACAGGGTATGACACAAGCTTTTAATTATGGTTTCTCTCCCCCACTTTGTTCTGTAATTTCTAGCTTCATTGAGAACCGGTTCATGGCAGTTGTTGTCGAGGGATTGATCTATCGCTCTTTCTCTACCAATAGTGGTGTCTCACAGGGTTCTGTTCTTTCACGTACTCTCTTCCTTCTTTTTATTGATGATTCATTTCACACTACGACTAATTCTATCCATTCTTACGCTGATGACGCTACTCCTCACTCTTCTTCACATTTTCCCTTCCCCCTAACTCAAACTAGATCTGTTTCTAGAGCTGATATCAATGCGGATCAGTGCAGCATCTCCAAATGGGGAGGTAAAAACTTGGTTAAATTCAATAGTAATAAAACACAGGATTTACCAATTACACTTTCCAAAATAGAAGATCTCCCACCGATCACATTTCCGGATGCAATCATCCTGCCAAATTCTAAAATATATATGCGAGGTCTCACCATTTCCTTTATTATGTCACAGAAGACACACATCCACAACATTCCTAAAGCTGCCTCCCAAAAGCTGGGAATGCTGTACAGATGCTGTAGCTACTTCACTCCTGAGCAGTTGCTTCAAGTTTATAGGGATTCATTCGTCCTAACTTGGAGTACTGCTCTCACATCTGGGATGGCTCTTCTTCTTTCCATCTGTTAGATAGGGTGGAATCAAAGGCATTTTGTCTTTCATCTCTCCTCCTATAGTTGATAATCTCTCTTCCCTTTCTCTTCACTGCAATGTTGCTTCACTTTCTCTCTTTTACAGGTACTATACTTCAATAATCAATTTTCGGTGGATTTGGCATCCTGTGCATTGCCGGCAAGGCCATGAGCTCGTAACGCTCGTCTTGCCCGTGGTGCCCACCGTTTCTGCGTGAATGTCGGTCACACTAGAATAACCATTTATAGTACATCCTTCTTTCCTCACACAGCCAAACTGTGAAATGCTCTGCCTTCTTCTGTGTTTCAATACTCATACAATGTCTCACTTCAAAAAGCTGGTTTTCCGGGATCTTCGTGGTGTAGATTAATTTAGTCTTTTTCTCTTCTATTTTTAATTTCTTTTTACTCTTAGTTTTTTGCCCTCCAGCCCCCATTGTGGGTCGATGACCCGTGCCTGGGTGGGCTATTCCCAATAAAAAAAAATTATAAATATTGTATGGTCTCATTAAAGGTTTAGGGGTTCCGTGTACAAGTCTAGACTCCACCTAACTAGAGTCTTACATAGGCACCTACACTAATTACCGGTAAGTAGTCAAATCTTACCTTCAAATCATCTCTTACTTCATCTTCAAACTTTTGTCCCCAGATAGACTGTCCACCCTTTCCTGTCCCAGATGGATCACCAGTCTGGATCATAAACCCCTGGAACCAAATATGAAATGATAATGAAAAAAGAGAGCAAAAAAATTATTTATGAATTAAGTCCTTATCAAATGGTTTAGGCTGACCAACACTATAGGTAGGGATAGTGTGATTAACTGGTGAGTCCATTCTCCCTACTCTATCTACACAACAATGTTAATGACCCATTTGTAAGGCTTTGCCTTGATTGACAAATGTTACTCTAATAGTTGCAGTGGAAATGTAAACAGATCATTTGACTAGTTCTCAGGCACCAATGTCAAGATTTACATAAATCTCAAACTGTAATGTATCTATAATGCAGAGAAGTTACTGTATAGAAACCTACAGAACAAGAAGTAAAATATTCTCATAATATTCTCAGAAACTCACCTTTATGTTGCGGTGGAAGAGACAACCATCATAGTAATTGGAGGCACACAAAGCTAAAAAATTCTCACAAGTCTTGGGGCAATGTTCACAAAACAGCTCAACCTTGATATCACCAACATCCGTATGCAATGTAACACTCTGAAAAAAATTACCATTATTATGCAGTAAAGTATTTTTTTTTATGGGATTAGCCCACCAGGGCACAGGTCAATGACCCACATGAAGGCCTGGGGGCAAAAATATAATAATGATAATAATAATAATTAATTAAAAAAAAAACACATACAAGCTCAATACGATGATTAGCATAAATTAAAACATTATACGGAAAACCATTGAATCCTCATTACTACTACTGTACAGTAACCTCCCCATTAGCCTAGCAAACGATCGAGGAACAGAGATAGCTATTCATTTTTTTTTACGTTCGTACGTTGGCTTGTTCAACAATGTGCAAGAAGTCTACATGGAGGACGTGTGTTTGTTTCAACAAATCAGAGCTTGTTATTGAGCATGGGTGGGCCCAAATATCAAAGTACAGTGTTCCCTCGGTTAACGAACACAATTCGTTCTAGAAGGTCGTTCGTTAACCGAAAATTTCGTTAACCAAAACCATTGTTTCAATGGGATATTGGGTAATTGGATCAAGCTCACCGAAAATTACATACAAACTAAAAATAAATGCAGTAAAGTACACTTACTTTGAGGTGTGCATGTAGAAGGCTCCTGGTTGATGATGATGATGATGGGAATTAGAATGGGGGTGGAGGAGAAAGGAGAAGAGAAGGTATTCGGGTGGAAGAGAAGTCACCCCCATGCCGCCATTTCACCCATAAAATTTTAGTTCACTTGGTCTAATTCAAGATTATTTTCTTTAAATCAACACTGCACTGCATTATATATTGTCAATATGTAAAATAAACTTCAGAATGACCAATAATTGTACTGTAAAAACGTAAAAACAATTTATGTTCAAGAGAGGGTCAAGCAAGATGCTTCCTCCACTGAGCAGACACAAAGTGACGCCATTCTGAGGGAGTCAAGCGGCTGTTTGGCGCGCTTAAAACTAGTTCCCTGTTAAATAATTGTTAAAATGACTAAAAACTTTAATATAAGACTTAGAAAATTATTGAATAGTACAACCTTCTTGATATTTACTCAAATGGTAACGAATTTAAGCCCTAAAACCAATTACTGTACTGTATTGGCGGACTAATACTACAGCTGGTAAGCAGGCAAAAGCAGGCGAAAACATGTTTGGAAAAATTCGTAAGGAATTCGTTAACCAAAATTTTTTCGTTAACCGAAGTGAAGAATCTTATGGAAGGTAATTTGTTAACCGAAATTTTGTTAATCGAGGGATCACTGTATAGCTAATTTCTTTCTGCTTAATATGCTGGGGGATCTTGGGGGTGGAGCCCACTGGTTAGAAAGTTAGTTAAGGTTAGGTACGTTTGTTTGGATAGGATAACTTAATTAATAATACCATATGTGGTTGATAGCACCATATTAAATATACAGTATAGAAGTACAGTAAGTCCTCGCTTAACGTCGTGGTTCCGTTCCTGTAAACCGCGACGTTAATGGAATAAATTTTTCCCATAAGAAATACAGTACGTTCCCCAGCCTCCCTTTGTCCCATAAAATACATTACATATACAGCATAGTCTGCATTTACGCGTTTGGTCATTTACGCGGTGCCTTGCCAGAATGAAAATGCTTTAATTATGCGGTAAATTTGGTCATTTACGCGGGTGAAGTATAATTTGTATATTTACTGAAGATATTTGTTTTAGCTCATAAAATTCATAGAAATTACCCAGCCAGAATATAATTTATATTGCTGGAATTCTTATAAGATGGTGATTAATTTAAATATAAATATCCTAAAATTTGCATTAGACATAAAAATTTTAGATGTAATTTAAGAATTCTATTAGAAAGAGCAAAAATTTTATCTTTTGTGCAAAATATATGACATTTATATTCAAATTATTGGCAGTCTTGCAAGGAATCCAGCAATGTCAATTATATTATACTAACTTTAGTCTGAGGTATTATTTATTACTAGAAATGTAAGCCTAGTGTTTTCACCCAAACATTTCTCTGGTAGGGAGGGAAGGTGAGGGGTAGGGAGGGAGGGAAGGTGAGGGAGGGAAGGTGAGGGGGGGAGGAGGGAGGAGGAGGGAGGAGGGAGGAGGGAGGAGGAGGCGGGAGGTGGGGTATTTTGATTGACTGATAGTGTCTGGGTGAAGTATAATTTGTTTATTAACTGAAGATATTTGTTTTTAGCTCATAAAATTCATAGAAATTACCCGGCCAGAATATAATTTACATTGCTGGAATTCTTATAAGATGGCGATTAATTTAAATATAAACATCTTAACATTTGCATTAGACATACAAATTTTAGATGTAATTTAAGAATTTTATTAGAAAGGGCAAAATTTTTATCTTTTGTGCAAAATATATGAAATTTATATTCAAATTATTGGCAGTCTTGCAAGGAATCCAGAAATGTCAATTATATTATCCTAACTTTAGTCTGAGGTATTATTTATTACTAAATATGTAAGCCTAGTGTTTTCACCCAAACGGTTCTCAGAGAGGGAGGAGCCAGCGAGCGTGGGAGGGGGGGGGGGGGGTTGAGTCCATTATTTGAATGGACATTAACCGGGCGACTGTATTTCTCTTAAATATTAATTGTGTGTGCATACCATCATAAAATTAAGATGCTAGTTTTACTACAACATAGGTATTATGTCGGAAAAAGTGGAGTTTGGGGGTCGGCCCAGTCTCTATTTCAATTAATCCCATATGTTCTGTTATTTCAATTACACGTTTCTCGTTTTACGCGGACCTCCACAGGTTCAATTGACCGCGTAAATGCAGATTATACTGTACATAAATTCACTGGAATTTTTATAGAAAATAGTATATATTATACATCCAAAAAGATAAATAAACTACATCATTTTGTATTGTACTCAGTGAAGGGCGGAGGTGGAGAGAGTGTGCGTTGGATAGTGGAGAGGTGGAGGATGGGAGAGGAGGAGAGCGGGAAAGGAGGAGGGTGGCGAGTCACTGAGATCCGGAGGGTGGCGAGTCACTGAGATCCGGAGGGTGGCGAGTCACTGAGATCCGGAGGGTGGCTCCTCCTTCTCTGACTGGGTGAGAGAGGGTGATGCGTCATACAAAGTAATCCGTGACGACATTATACCGAATCGGCGGGATGTTGTCCAAATCTTGGGTATCTAAAGAGTAGTGATGTTATAACGAAACAGCGTTGTCGGGGGCAACGTTAAACGAGGACTTACTGTGTCTCCGTTAGCTGGAACAATTGGTGCAGATCACTTCTGGGAATAAGATATTTCCGTTTAATGAGACAACTCTCTCTCTAAGCTGGAAAACTCTCATCCCCGGAATTTTCTGGGAAACGGAAAAAATTTTCTTGGAAGTTCCAGAATGATGCATTATTTCATCTCTCAAAGCCAGAAAAAATCTCTTATCCCCAGAATTTTTGGGAATTTTCCAGGTAACGGAAAAATGTTCTCTGAAGTTCCAGAAATTATGCATTACAGTACATCATCTCACGAACCCGGAAAAGTATCCCCATCCCCGGAATTTTCCAGAAAATGTACCCAAGAAAATTTCAATTCCGGCTATTGGAGAGTTCTGGGTTTGAAGGATTCTGGCTAACCGAAATATTATTATTTATCTCAGTTCTAGGTTGTTTGCAAGGGAAACGTCAAAGAAGAAGTGTCTTAGAATTGTCTAAGCTGTTGATTATAAAGATAAAATTCTTGAGAATCAGTTGGTGGCAACAAATACAATACTGTAATACTTTTTCTAGTAGTTTTCTGGTCTTCAACTTACGATATCTTGGTTACAGGTATAATGTGAGAAAAGTGTCACAAGAAATTTGTCTTTTTTTGTCTGAAATTATCATTAAAAACAAAAAATCCAAAATCTGATTATGTCATCTACTGTAACATGTGAGAGAGAAAATAATGCAACTTATGAATGAGCACACCTTATTTAGTGATAATACGGATTCATTTCAAGACGATCGATGAAGGAGTTGTAGTTGACATAGCCTAATGTGACTATATGAAAGCCTTTGACAGGGTGCCACATAGACAGTTACTGGAGAAAATTCAGAGTTATAACATCAGGGGAAATTTTTTAAAATTGACTGAGTCTTTTCTCAGTGAAAGACAACAGCAGGTGATGGTAAATGGACAAGCCTCCGAGTGGAAGGAAGAAATTAGTGGTGTCCCTCAAGGGTCAATCATTGGGCCATTGTCATTTGTAATATTTATAAATGATCTGCCAGACATAGTGAAACACAGTAATGTTTTCTTTGTGCAGTTAATACCAAGATACAGTATATAGAAAAATATGTGCAGATGAAGATTATCGTAGTTTACAGGAGATGAAAAAGTGGTCAGATAATTGGCTGTTGAAGTTTCATCCGAAGAAATGTATATTCATGAGGACTGGAAGAATGACAGCACAGAAGAAAAATTATGTAATGTCCTGTATGAGGAAATAACAGAAAATTATTCTGAGAAGGATCTTGGAATAATAATATTGCTCTCAAACTTGAAGAACATCTGACTGAGAAGATTAATAAGGCTAACAGACTGGTTGCATTGATACAAAGAACATTTGTGACTCAAGATATAAGAAATGTTCAGATCACTATATACAGCATTGATCAGACCTCATTTGGAGTATGGTAATCAAGTATGGTGACCATATATGAGAGAAAACGGACTCGTATGATGGGGGACCAAATAAAAAAAGCATAGCTACACGTTTTGTGGACTACAGTATTAAGCGTACCCTTTTCATCACTTTGTAATAAACCTAGCCATGCCTATGTGTGTTTATGATATTTACCATAACATTATATATATATTTAGTGGGTCTAAATGGTCGAAAAATGGGAAACTTGGGGTTGGGTCTTGGGTGCCTGGAACCAATTAGAATAAATCCCATAGGTTCTGTACTTTTGTTAACGGCGGGTTCCCAATTAGGCGCGATAACCAAGGGATGATTGTACTGTACTGTATATACTTGTGACACTGGCCAGTTGCTTCTGGTGTCATGGTACAGGGGTACCAAATGACAGC